AAGAATTGGTTTTCATCCCTCAAGTTATGTAGCATAGTGCTTGCTCCATAATAGATTGGCAGTAAATGGCTATTAAGTGAATGACTGAAAAAAATATTGAAGCAGAAAGGATTGAATGGAGCAAGCTACTAATGCTTCATGATGCCAACTCTATTCTTATCCAAGATGGGAAATTTCCAAAGGCAAAAGAGATGGAAAAGAACAGAATAACCACTGTCTTAGAGAATTTCACTTAATTCATAATTCAAAAAAAGAATTTATTGAGGTCCTAATCAGTATCAGTGTCAAATGTTGTGACTAAGAATAGCAAAGAGACAGTATGTGGAAGGTGGTCACAGGATTTTAAAGAATATTGGTTTGCAAGTCTTTAATTGCACATAAAAATATATCAGTAGTACCAACGCATATGGGGGCTTATTTTTTTCCTGTTTCTTGAATTACAAGTCACCTAATTGCTTAATGTAGTTTCCTGTACTGTTTGGAATTGTATTAAAAGTTCTAGAGTTTCTTTCTCCCTGATAGCTAAAAGGCAATATTTCCATTAGTGGGTGTTTATTTTGATAGTGGGTACTTATTTATTCTATTCTGTTTTCAAAAAATAATCTTTTAATCCTACAATTTAATGTTTCACACACAGAGAAGAAGCTAAAATTATTAATAGGTTAATGATAACACTATGTCATAAAGTTGTGAAAAATAAAGATGCCAATGCTCATATGTAATAAGAACAGTGCCTGACATTCAGCAAACACTTAATCAATGTTAGTTTTGCTGTTGTTGCTTTTCCAAAGTGGCCCAAATAAACCACTGAGACCAAGGAGTCATCAAGAGTATCACCTTGTTTTCACCGGAGTAATATTCTATTAACAAAGCTAGGGTCAGTGAGCCAGAGACAGATAATAAGTATGGCTCTGTTAATATTATCCATCCTAAAGTCAGTGAACAACACTGAGCACAGTCCTTACTGAAATAATTGAGGCATCCTGTTCCAAAGGTGACCCTTGTAACTTCATGGTAATTTAATCAAATGATGTGATAGACATGGTAAGCTTTGATACATTTAAAAAATACAATTTTAAAATGAATGGAGGTGATTTAATTCTACAGAAAAACCTTCCCTGGCTGAAGACTGAATATAATTAAATAATAGATTTTAAAATCTTCTAACCAAATGTTGACCTTTCAAAAGACCAGATTAAACCATAACATGACTTAGTCTTATAAATTATCATACTTATAATTATAACACTTCAAAAGGTGAAGTTAGGAGTTTTTGCACATGGCATTATATTTTGTAAAACGTACATAGCTAAAACAGAGAAAGGCATAGTTCTTATGTTACTAGCTTTGGGCCAGATGCTTGATTTCTCTGACACTCAATTATCTAAAAATTGCATTATAATAATAATTTTCTTGCTTATTTCATAAAATTCAGGTATACTGAAGCAAAATTATGAATGTGGAAACCTTCTGCAAAATGCAACTCATTCTGCAAATTCAGTAGTACTCTTATTTTATTTGTCTTGAAATATTAGAGTACTCATAAATATAAGCACACTAACCACAGATGTGCATGTATATACATAGTTGAGTTCTTAGAAGGAGCCGCCAAATTATAATATGTGGTGTAATGATTTTCCTTCTTTGTATATATTTTTCTCTATACAACAACTTTAAATTTGTAGAAAAAGAGGGAAATGATATTATGAAAATTATAATAGAAGATTCTAATGGAGTATACAATGAAGTATACAAGTTTGAGGATAAGGTCAAGATAAGCTTACTGTCTGAAATTTAATTACTGTCTGAAATTTAATCCTGTAAGCATAAGTTAGAAAAATTAATTACCTTAATTATCTGAATCACTGACCCATCCTAAGAGATTTTGGAAATATGTTGCTGCTAAGAACAAGGTATAGTTCAAATCCAATCATGCAAACTGAATGATGAGAGCTATGATCTATACAGTGGTTCTGTAATTTATGTTGCATAGCGTGACACAGTGACTTCTTTTAAAAATTAAAAATAATAATTTCTTTCTAAAATATTCCATTAATGAGGAATAAAATCATTTATCTAGGTAAAAATATCCTTACAGCAGAATGTCTTAAAAATAACCAAAACATTAGGCCTATATGTACTGTTAAGATTTCTGGGCCTGCTCCTGAATCAACTAATTGATATGTTAGCATACTCATAGGAAACATGTCTGTCAGGATATCTTTATTCATCTTTGACTCAGGAAAGACCCTCCTTGTAATCTAACAAATCATAGATCAATCTATATCTTCTTTGTTCTCCTCATTAAATATTGAAGACATAAAAAACATTATTATGGAATACGTTTAACTTTAGGAAACTGGATGAATTTCCCTTTTACAGTCTAGGTCAATGATTCTCAAGCTTTAATGTATGTAAGCAAAACCTGAAGAGCTTCCAATGAATGCATACTTCCAGCCTCTATTAGATTCTAGGTTTTCAGATTTCCAAACTGATCTCCCCTGAGCATTAAATTTTTGGCATCTCTATGAGAGCTAGAAAAGTCAAACATCTGGATCTGAAGAGCTACAATCTAGACCGGCTGGAGGTCCTTGAGCAATTCACCAAAGAACCCAAAATCCACCTGCTATAAGACTCCCCTGAGAATCCAAGTGACCTTTTTTCTCTACACCTTCTGATCCATCACTACCCGTAGCAACCTTGTTTAAGATTGTACACCCTCAACTGCTCAGAATTCTATAAGGAAAACTAATTGATAAATCAAATGGAAATTTGTTCTAATAACTCTTTCATAGACGACTTTTTAAATAAGTGCTGCTAAGAAGTAAAAATGTTTTAAGCAAATGATTTCAATGACTAGTCTCTGCACAGTTAAAACTTTTACACAGCACATGCCAGTATTTAATGAGATGGGAATAACAGAATGGTAAACTAATAGAGAGGAAGCAAAGTGACTTATAGGGTTTTTGAAAGATTTTAGTTATATTTAGAGTTTCCTCTCAAGTTTCAAGTTGAGTGCTTCAAGATTTCATAACTGAAAACAGGAAGAAAGAGCTGACTGTTTCTCCAATCACAGTTCCTTGCTTCAGTAAGACTGCCTGTGCACTGGAACCTTAATCAAATATCCAAGATACGAGTCCTCACTTTTTCTTTGCTACGAAATTGCTGTTACAATTGCATGTAGCCAAGTTTGCTGCTTACTTTCCACGGGATATGGAAAATATAAAGAGATCCAAGGAAGAGTCACATCTGGTCCCATAACCCAAGTGTCGGAAGAATTGGAATGTAACCTCTATGCTTTTAGCCCCTAGAACCTCTCTGCTGTTGCATTGTGGAATGTATGTGGAAGCAATCATTCTAAGACATATGCCTAAGACACTTATCACCACTTATGACACATCCCTTAGCAAGCAGCAAGTATCCAAGTCAGCTCTCTGCCTAATGCTGTGTAGGTTCTATTGCACAACTCCAGGGGGTGCTGTTCACCCAGACAATTAGGTGAATGGAGCCCTTGAAATAGTGCAACTGGCAACCCTGATTCAAGGTAGGAACACCTTTAACTTATGTTTTGTCCTGGAGAGACCAGAGAATATTCTGTGGCGATGATGATAGTGATGATGGTGAAACTGATGCTGATGGCCAACATTTGTGAATACTTACAATATGCTAATTACCCACATTATAAAGAAAGAAGGACTAGGTTTGGGGGGAGGGAAGAGGGACTGATTCAATATCAAAGACTTTGAGAGACCTCTGCTAGTAACCACTATTTTCTTCTTAAAGTATATTGGAATGGGGTTAAAGAATTAAAAACTGACAGTTTCGTTTATTTCTCCCCCCAAAAGGGCAATGGAATTATGCATAGAAAAATATATATGTAAATTTTATAAGCTAATCTAGTACTAAAATTTGCTTGGAAATTTTTTCCCATTTCCTATTTGCAAATTTATAGCACCAAAAAAATAAAGCCATAGGAGGAATATTTGTTCTCTTGTAGGTTTTGAAGATTTAAGGTACTTATTTGTAATCTTTCTAAATACTTCCTTTGAAATGAAAAAAAAATAGTCAAGTACCTTTTTAAAAATCCTTTCTCTAGCAGCTTTATATAATGTCAGGTATTAAATAATTCAGAAGATATCATTTTATTTAAATACTGAGAATAATATAAAATGGTATTACTATGAAAAATATTGGTTTCTACCTTAATGATAGCGACAATGAATTTCCTTCCTGAATCTGATCCCTATTTTTAACCGAAAATCATTTTTACCAATGTTTCCAGGCAATTCCAAAAACTATCTTAGCATTAGATCATTGCCACGGGCCCAGGACCTGAATACCACATTCCTACATCACTGTGCAGAATCTATCACATTTTAAGGGGGAATTCTTTAATATAAAATCTGGATCTCAGTCTGTACTTTTATAGAAGAACAAATTCTGTAAGTGCCGTTCTCAGAGTTCTAAAGAGCAAATTAATGGAGAAATGCAACTCCGATGAGCCTGCAACCTCCCCAGGAATGAGAGAGGCAGCGTTAGCTTTCCCCTCTTTACCACAGCCAACGGAACCCACCCCCACTGAGTGCAGCACTCAAGTCTTTTTCTGGTTTAAATACCTACACAAGTAATGATAAACACCAAGCCGGTGTCTTAAGGATGATAAACCAGAAATTAACTTCTAAGTTTTGCTCAGGTGCTTTGAACACTATAGTGTGTCATTTTTTTCTTGGTTAAGAAATAAATATGTTGTTTTAGTCACCACACACTGGAAGTAAAGACCCCTTCACTGGTAGGAACTTGGCTTTGAGAAGTCAATCTAGTTTGCTAACGTAATAACCCCGTTTTTAATCAGTGGCTACGGAGACAATATCTTAGATGGGAAAGTGGCTCATGAAGTATGTAGGAGCCATGAATAAGAGAGGCTTTAAACTGGAGCGCAGAGTGGTGTGGAGATGGTGAGCCGGGAGCAAGTTCAGGAGGAGAGAAGGGCAACGACTTACCTGCAATACTTTGGTCAAATTGTTAAACAGAGCTTGGCCGGCACTCACTTTGTATTTGACGCCTCTGACTGTGCCATTTTTGCTTAAAATGTTGACCCTTCTGGTACCAAAACTCTTCTCGCTGGCGGCCCTCGCTAACACCAGCAAGTTATCCTGGTCGTTCTCCTGCTCGTCGCTTTCTGATCCTATGTGGCCGTTTTGCTGTCCATCAGACTCACTTAGCCCATCGATGCCGCAGAGACTGGCGCATTCGGAGTCCAGGGAGCCTGACGGTTGCCCATCTTCATACACCTCCTTCAGAACTCGCCCGCTGTGGGACGATGCGATCCGAAACCGGACTTTCCGTGGCCTGTCACTCTCCGGCTTCATCTCCCTTTTGAGCATGGTCACAGCCACCCACACGACAGGTCACATCATTCCAGATCCCCCGTCACTGCACGAGTCCACCTGCCACATAACGATATCAGGACGTAATTCTGGTGACAGCTGCACTCATATGAAACTAACATCGAAAGGAAAGAAGATTCCCAAGAACTTACAGTGCATCTCGGCTATTAATAATGAATGTGTGTGTGTATGTGTGTGTGTGTGTGCTATGGTTACCTTTAAACTAAAACCTGCAAAACGATCCCAGCCGTTAAATATTAAATAGCTATGGTGGGCTCTTTAACAGGACAAGTGCAAGAAAGCGGCATGCAATGAAACAGAAAATAAGGGCAAGGAAATGAAAGACTTGAACTTCGAAGCCAATAGGGACTGTTGAAAAGGATCTTAAGTGACAGAAATATCTCTACAGTTCACGGTCCAGAGTAGAGGCCAGAGATAAAATAGGGAATCAAATGTATTGCATCAGAGATGTCACAGTCTTCTCACAGAGCTAATTTCCTTTGTATTTCACTCTCAACCAGCAGTCTTTAAAAAGGGCAGTGAACATGCTATTTCTGCATAGAGCTCTCATTGCTAGTTCTTAAATCATCGATCAGACTTTACCAGCTTTGTACACAGGGAATTTGCAACCTACATTGTTATGCACAAGGGGCTTTTCTACAGAATAATTTTTTAACAGGCTGTGAAAACAGAGAACTTTCCCACTTCTGCTGGTAGAGAAACGTTCTCTTGGACAGAGGGAAAGGTTTGGAAAGGAAACATATGGAGCAATGAAGGAAGAATGGAAAATCCCCGAAGCCAGCCAGATCAGCCAAAGCAATCCCGGTGATCGGCATTGATAAATATTATATCCAAGTCACCCATGCATAGAGAAGAGTCCGCCTTATGCTGTGCTCAGTGTGCATTTTCTGTCAGGTTGGCAGGCACCTGAAGAACCGCGTGCGGTAGAGAGCCACACTGAAACTCCCACTGCAGTGAGGGCCCTGGCCTGTCCGCATCTCCAGAGAGAAATTAAGCAGCTGGCCCGTCCACCACCCCTCAAGTTTTGTCATGTTTACAGTTTTAACTGATGATGACCTTAACTGATACCTATGTTAGAAAACGCAGAAAATAATAGCACAAAGCTGGAAAGTCACAAATAATCTCACAAGAGATGTTCATCATTTTGTTTCCTCATCTGTCAAACAGTTTCTATTTCATAGAGTGATCTCAAAGATTAAATAGAGTGATGTATATGAAATGGTTTAGCATGCTGCTCAACAAACGATAGCTATGAATTCTTTCTTTTTTCTTCTAAAATATATTTTATTGATTTTTTTACAGAGAGGAAGGGAGAGGAATAGAGAGTTAGAAACATCGATGAGAGAGAAACATCGATCAGCTGCCTCCTGCACATTCCCCACTAGGGATGTGCCCGCAACCAAGGTACATGCCCTTGACCGGAAACAAACCTGGGACCCTTCAGTCCGCAGGCCGACGCTCTATCCACTGGGCCAAACCAGTTAGGGCAATAGCTATGAATTCTTATTTGTTTACTTAAACTAGCTAAATATACATACTGTTTGGGGACAGTGAGAAGAATGGAACTGGAAAAGCATAAGTAACTGGCAGGGAATAAAGGCAACCCATTCTGTTTTGGTTCTGATTCTAGGACAGTGATGGTGAACCTTTCGAGCTCGGCGTGTCAGCATTTTGAAAAACCCTAACTTAATTCTGGTGCTGTGTCACATATAGAAATTTTTTGATATTTGCAACCATAGTAAAACAAAAACTTATATTTTTGATATTTTATATATTTAAATGCCATTTAACAAAGAAAAATCAACCAAAAAAATGAGTTTATGTATCACCTCTGACACGCATGTCATAGGTTCGCCATCGCTGTTCTAGGGCTTCCAGATTAAACCAGCCTGCTACTACGTAGATCCTGGAGAAGGGCCCCGGTTTCCAGCATGCTGTATGTCTCTGGACTGAGAGTTTAGTGTATTCAAGAGCTGTGCTGGGGCAGGGAGCCTTGGGGCTGGCATACATCCTGTCACTGTGGATCCTGAGGGGGCATAGCTGTCTCAGACTCCTGGGACTGCTCAGCTGTGGAATCAACACATACCTAGCATTTCCATTTTATAGTTATACCCAAACTCTCTAAAATTAACACAAAGAGGGCAAATAGAGTCCACACAGCAACAACTTCCCAAAATAAATTTTTACAGTTCAATTTTCATTTTTGATTCCCCATTGGATCTTGTAAAGGTTTTTGCATATAAACAATGCTTAGATAAATGTTTGCTGAATTGAAATTAGATAAGTTAGATTTTAAAGTCAAAACAAACTGACATTAGGAGAGAGGTAAATAACAACTAATATGATTACTTCCATCTCTTCTTGTCCTGCTTCCAGTCCAAATGCAAGGTAAGAAATAATGTATTAACTTTTCGGGCAAAATATCTCAGTCAATGCTATTGGTATCATAAAAGGACCATCTACACTACATAAGAAATTGTTGAATGCTGGACAACAAATAATATACTCTGCCTACAGAATCCAAGTCCCAGAGGAAATGAAAGAGTCATGAATCAAGCTTACCTGTTAAATGGTGTTAAAAACTTGACTTAGCTGCCTTCAACTTACAAAAGCCAAGTGACTCAAACATCCAGTCCACTTCGCACTTAATAAGCTTATGCTTCATTCTCAAGCACAAAACAAAGATTTTCCTATTTCCTCTTGAATAATGAGTTTCTTACGCATCATGTGGCTAAGATTTTTCAAACTGCGATACAGAAAAAAATCACTTTTATGTCCTTCAATCAGATTGTCACTGTCTATAGAATACTTAGAAATATGCCTTATGGTAAAAAAGATTTTTAAACTAACTGCATTATTACTCTAAACCAGCCATGGGCAAACTACGGCCCGCGGGCCGGATCCGGCCCGTTTGAAATGAATAA